AAAATATATTCAAAATAGGGGAGGAAATAGATCTTACCTTTATTAAATTCTACCTTCTTTCTGCCTCTTAAGAGAAAAAAATTGATGATAATTTAAGCTTCCACTTGAAATTAACATGAAACAAAAGATCACCAGTAGACAGTTTTGGGTCAAAATAAGTATATCATATTATGACTATTCAATCAGAGACCATTTCAGGATCTCTTGGCAATGACTACAACAGACTAAACTTTTTTAAAAAAAAAGTGTGTGCATTGAGTGAGATGAGCAAATTCCGTATATCAACAAGTAGCCAGCTAAGTCTGACTAGTGATGCCAGGCACAAATTAGGCACACATGCAGTTTTGATATCTTATCCAAATAAATGATACATTCAATAACAAAAAAAGATGAAATGGACAGACATGCATTACTTACATTAAAAGAAAGTACTGTACTTTTAAAAGCAATGTGCTTCATTGGCTAGACCTGAAGATGAACAGTGAACATATTTTGGATTTATAGCAGAATCTGGCCCACTGCCTGCACAAATGCTGTGGGCCTTGGAGCAGCAGGGACATACCAGCTGCTTTCTGGAAGCTGCTTGGAGCCCAGTAGTGAGTCTGCTAGCCCTGCCAACCCTCCCCACCAGCACCAATCTCAGGATGGGTAGTGTTTGAAGTGAGTTTGAGGTCCTTCTTCCATGCAAGGGGTGTGATTCACTTTTGGTTTTATTGGGTACTATCTGGGGCTGATAGTTCTAGTTGACAGACCATGGTGTGGACTGCATTCCTTTGCGATTTAATGATTAAGATATTAAAATGTAAATGTTTGGACACTGGCTACTTTTTATATTTTCTTATCTTGAACTCCTGTATACCAGTGTATACTAATGAAGGGTTGTGCTAATGAGTACAGAAAGTTTTATGAACTTGTTTTCCAGTGCCAGTATTTGCAATTTTTTTCTGGAACAGGTATCCTCCTCAATTCCATCAGGATGCCATTGTTTTGTCTCCTCTAATTTTTTTTATGGTATGAAGACTGTAACTCTATTTGCTGCAGAAGAGAGATCACTTTAAACTGCTCAATCCTGAACCCATATATGTCAACAGGAATGATCCTACTAATTTAAAGCATGCCAGATCACATTCTAAATGAGGTTTTTAATAGTTGTGAACTAGTTTAATAGTTGTGAACAGAACCATTTCAAAAATGTTTTCATTTGAACATTTTTAAAAACTGTTAAATATCTTAAAATCTTGAAGCTTTTGCATAGAAATAATATGTAAATGCAATATTTCTGTTAATTATACTAGAAAAGTAGGAGCAAGATGGCAGTGACATTGGAACAGTGGAAATTAGTTTATTACAATGGAATAGCCGGGAGGGGGAATGGCGCCCTAGAGATGACTTGGATTCGTGAGTTTCTGCTGACAAAGTTTTTATAGGCCTGTAAATTTAACGTAGAATTTTTGTAGGCAGCATGCATTGACAAATATGCCTAATGGTAATACATCTAGTACTGAGTGTCTCAGAACAGGTCAATAATAATGCTTATATTGATAGCAGCAATGTAGGAGATGTTACTTGGTATTATAGCTAAAATCCATGTTATCCCCTTAATCATAATTACATTAATATTGACAGGCCCTTGACAATACTCACATTACTATTGATAGATTTCTGTCAATAACATGTTTCTAAATAAAATATATTCATTCATAATTTGTACAATACTCAATAACAGCATTAAAATCTACTTGGAGAAATTCCTATTTTCTTTGTGATATACAATTTGTATTTGGAATGCACTGTACAAGAGATTCATTTTTATATATATATATATATATATAACTAAAGAAAGCAAAGCATGGGCTTATTTAAGGAAAGAAAAGACTTTATATTATTGGAAAACTGATTTTTCAAGGGTGGTTTTTTTTCTGTGAAACAAAAGCAATTGGCTGTGGTGATAAAATGTCAGCAGGAGACCTTAATATTTAGTTTTAAATCCTTTTGCCTTAAACATATTTATGTAACAACTTAATCACACTGATTTTAGTAGAATGCACTATACTGTTCTTGATTTTTATTTTTTTTTTTTATTTTTTTATTGCCTTAAGTGTTCCCTTCACATACTCCTAGCCTAGTGATATACTTAAATGAAACACTGGTGTTTGTCTTTATTTATTATTATTGGGCATACAATTCTGGTCCCTTCACTAGTTTAAAATGTTCTAAAGCAAGATGATGAGAAGAGAATAACAAGCAGTAGGGACAAGGAGAAATGGAAGTTAATTAGGTGGCATGGAGGAAAACAAGTTTCTTGGTGAGATCTGTATAAAACAGAAGAATATGAAGTGAAGAATTGCAATGGGGAAACAAAATACAAGCTGAAAGATGGTACCTGTGGGCTGTGTAATTTTATTTATTTATTTATTTACTGATTGATTGGTACAGACACCAGGCTGCATATTTGTTCCAGTGGTAAGGCCAGTATCTGTGAAAACAATATGAAGTACAAGTGTAACAAAGCATTGAAATAACTTCGTTGTTGGGCAAGGGAAAGTAATCAAAGGAGACCTTTTATGTTAGCACTGTTTAAAAATAAGTGGATAAAAACAGTAAAATAAGAAACCACCATTCCTGCAAAACAGTAAATATGCGGAGTGGAGGCTTATTATTTCAACAAAAGTTAGCCACAAGACCATTGTGATTCTCATATATATTTAGCATTCACATGGGAGTAGGCATTTCAAATTCTACCCTTTTGATGTTCACGTATGGATAACATTGAAATCAATGGCAGCAACTTCAGAATCTTGCCTTTTATATACATTCTAAATGTCCAAATAACCCTGGTTAAGTGCAGGCTTCTTCAACACAGTTGTAGTGATGGATGGTAATGAGTGCGAGATATGGCCCCAATCCAACAAAGCACTTAAGTGTGTGCATAACTTTAAGCATGTGAATAGTCCCATTAAAGTCAAAGTTATGCATGTGCTTAAGTGGTTTGCTGGATAAGAGCCCATGTTAATAGATGTGGTCTGTCATGGCTTACATTATCTAGAAGTACCATATATATATTTTTTCCAGGACTTAACGGAAGAATTCTTAGCTACTGCCATAGAGTCTGACTACACTTCATGGCAGCGCAAGCAGCGGGAATGGCTAGTCTCCTCAAATATGTGCCCATCATCTCAGACAAGTACATACTCAGGCTGACTAGCCTCTCCTGTTGCTCATGCCACCACAACTACTCTATTTTTAGTGTGCTAGTTTCATCAGAGCTAATACAAAGTATGTCTCCTTGAGCTAGGAATTACACCCCAAGCTTGAGGATTAGATATACCCATAGGCAACAAGAAAAGCTTTGCATGCCAACATCTTGATGTGGGTTTTTTGTTGTTGTTGTTTGTCCCTCCCCCCATCTCCTCCTTTATTTTAATCGCGCACACATGGAAAAACTAATCACATCTACTGCAAGATTTGTTTCAACAGTGTGTTACTTGCGATATTACTAAGTCTCCCAATAGGTACAGAAAGGAATACTGCTCTAAAGTTTTTGTAATTTGGGCTTTGAATTGCAGATCACTTTTTTTTTTAAAAAACTTTTGAAGTTGTTACGGTTTTGCCAGTATTTTTCTCCCTACCTGCGCCCATTCCTCCTCCTCTCCCCTGCCCCCCCCCCCCCGGGGGTGGGTGGGTGGGTGTGTTTGAGCTCAAGGAGAATTCATTCACCTCTTAAAAAAAAAAAAAAAAAACTTCTTATGGCAACTTTCTGTCTAACAAATAAGGACTGGAAGCAGCTCCTTCTGAAATTGGTAAATTCCATTTCAGGCTTTTGCTCTCTGGAGAGACTCATTCTGTTCCTATCCCACTTTTCTAAAGCAACTGAACATGCTACCTCCACAGTGCAATAAGTCCTATTGATCTGCTTTGCGAGGAACCCAGTTTAAAACCCCAAATCTGTGGGAGCAACCTGTGCACTTATTAGATCACTAGGCCTCCTAGCAACTCATTTTTATTTGTTGTAGCTCAGTGTAAAGGACCACTACATCAGGCACCCCACAGCGAAATCCTGCATATCTGAGACACGTTATGCCATGACTTTTATACAAGATTACTTTGCCTTTGCACTGTATACTACTGTTTTCCCATTGTACAGAATTGTTAATATGATCACATATGCACCAAGCTATTTTTTTTGGATAACTTTATTTTTCATTCTAATACTCGGGCAGGAAAAGAGTACACATTAGTTGATGTTACCAGCATACATTAATCATCTTGCCAGAAAAATTGTTATACAACTGGTAGCAAAACCCTGCACCTGTCAAAAGAGATTAGAAAATACATGCAGGCATCACAGATATATTGTAAGATAATTTATGTGTGAGTGCTGAATATTTATTTGATCCTTTTAGCATTTTTTAAATATCACTGTCTTTGTTTTCAAGGCTTTATCATCCCCAACTTGTTTAAATTTCATATTTCTTCTATGCATATTTCTCAGATCTCCTAATATCTTCTATATTATATAGTTTATCAGCAGCTTATGATGTGTTGATATGGCAAGGTTTGTCTTCACTACTTTCCCCCAAGAGTTTACTTACTATACCTATTTGCCACATTAAATTCCATAAACCACTGTACTGTTTTACAATTACTGTTGCTTCATTTTAGTATTTGATCACTCTGCTAGCATCAGGCAATGCATTAAATCTTACAGTGAAGCACTAAATGTGTGATTAGTATTGTGAATAGCTCAGAGGATACAGCTGTGTTACTATGTGGAATAATAGTTCAGTTTAAGTAATTTTAAGACTAAAGTTATGTTATTAATATGACACTTCTTGAATGGTGCTGGTTGCAGTGTGTAATATTGTTAATAATTCCTAAAGCGATGGCTTTGTTGCTTGTTCAATTTTGTTCACAATTTTATATGAACTGTATTGAAAGACAAGTATAAACAATACAAAATGTTAAATTTATACTATAAGCTTATCTGTGTTTATTCCTAGAAAGCTGTGGTGAAGACATGGCTTCCAATGGCAATAATTCAGAAAGAGTGAACCCTGTGCTCAGAATAAGTCAGATGGATGCTCTTGAACTAAACAAAGCCTTGGAGCAGCTAGTTTGGTCCCAGTTTTCCAGCTGTTTTCATGGATTTAAACCGGGGCTGTTGGCTCACATTGAACCAGAAGTAAAAGCATTTTTATGTCTTTTCTTGTGGAGATTCACCATCTATTCTAAGAATGCAACTGTGGGACAGACTATTCTGAATATTCAATACAAGAATGACTTATCTCAAACACAGAAATATCAGCCATTGAGCAAACACCAGAAGTTATGGTATCTTATCTGCACTGTTGGTGGAAGGTGGTTGGAAGAAAGATGCTATGATTTATTCAGCAGTCGCCAACTAGAGTCATTCTGCAGAATCAAGCATTTCATTAATTTTGTAGCTGGACTTTTAAAACTTTGTGGACTACTGAACTTTCTGATTTTCCTTCAGAAGGGAAAATTTGCAACACTTACCGAACGTATTTTAGGAATTAGATCTGTCTTTTGTAGGCCTCAGAATGTTCGTCAAATAGGATTTGAATACATGAACAGGGAACTTTTATGGCATGGCTTTGCTGAATTTCTAATCTATCTTCTACCACTCATTAACATGCAAAAGCTCAAACTCAAAATTTCATCTTGGTCTTTGCCTATTGCAGTTTTTTCCAGTAGCGAAAACACTTTAGCAGCACATTGCAAGGAATGTTCTGTATGTGGGGAGTGGCCAACTATGCCTCATACCATAGGCTGCTCACATGTTTTCTGCTACTATTGTATTAAAAGCAACTGCTTATTTGACATGTATTTTACCTGTCCTAAGTGTGGTACAGAGGTATACAATCTTCAGCCATTGAAATACAAGATTGAAATGACAGAAGTTCACACACTCTAGAGTTTTTTGTGGTGCACTTGAAGCACATACTTTAGAGTAAACTGTATAATATTCAGAACCACTATTAAATTGATCATATTGTCATTTTGTTTACAGCAGTTTGATCTTTCTCGGTCTTATGTCTGTGATATAATAAAGTCCGTATTGACATTAGTTTCCATATACTAATATAAAATTGTAATTTTAGCAATTATTCCAATTATAATCAAAGATTCATGCGATTATATTGTTGGTAGCTATCCGCATATTTCATCAACTGCTTTATGTAATCACCATAGAAGACATTCCCTGTGAACTACTTTTGAGGTAAGTAACTCATTAGCATCTATAATAAAGTGGTGAGACCACCTAAAGAAAATGGAGAGCTGCACAGCAGGATATATCAGCAAAAAACAATTCATGTTCACTCATTACTGAGAATAGGCTTAAAAGTAACTTTTTTTTTTAAACAGTTTTTGCCACTGTGCACCATTAATCCAGCATTGTCAGTTTAAATTCATTGCAGTGAATCTGTTTCCTGATTGTCCCAGCCAAATGCATCTATTCTTTCAGGATACTAAGTGGATACCACCCTAATCTATTATATAAATCATAGGGTACTTTTGTTGCCTTTATGAACATTTTAGTATAGCCTTCATATACCACAGTGATGAACATGGGTCTCTTTGTTTCGTTATTTCAATTGTTGTACCACAATTTCACTGGATATTATCAGTGCAGCTCTGCAATAGCAGAGCACCAAACTCTGAAGGTCTCATAAATAACATGTTTTGTGTGGGTTTTTTTCCTTAGCAATACTAGATTTTATTTTTATTTTATTTTTTTACTTTGTAGTTAGGTGAAATCAAAACAACCATTGAGGAGCCAAGATTTCCACACCCTCCCCCTGTTGAGAAGACAGTTGCCACTGGGTTAATATTTTTAAGGGAGGAAATTCTGGAGCTAAAACTTCAGTATTTGGCAGCTTCCCTTTAACACTTAAATTTCATATATGTTATGTTTTCAAATAGGATCTTAACTGTTGCTGTATTAGGTGACAAAAGAAAATTCCTAAAATGTATGTCTTGCCTAAAGATATCAGAAGAAAAATTCAGCTAATTTGTGATCTATCCAAAGAATAACTACCTTTTGTTATGTTTGTTCACTTACTGTATGGATAAAATATCACTAATTAAACTGCCATCTAAAAGGTGTATATAATTAAAACAAAAGGTCTGCTGATATTTTGTATTACAACATAGTCTGAATCCCTTATTTTTAACTTTTATTTTTTTTCAGTCAACTTTTTTAAACTAAACCTTTGGGTAGAGTTCTGTTGTTCATCTGCAGTTAGAACAGTTATAGTGCCAGAGTAACCAGTGCAGCTGTGGAGTGAACCAATGCCTAGAACTTATACCAGTTACAAGTACCCTGTACCAGAAAACTTCTATCAAAACTCAGAAGAGATCAGCCTTTATTACTATATACCATTTAGCTAGTTTCTACTCCTTATCGCACGTCAGCATGCCTGAATGTACCAAAACCTGCTGACGAGTCTCCCGGTCCTATGACCAGACTGGTATATTTTTTCCTCTGGGATACTTCCTACCTGGTCTCCTAGTACAGCAGTCCATGGGTCCTCGGGGGTAGTCTGGTTGTTAAGTCTGCAGCGACTCCCTTCCCAGGTCACACTGGCTGGCTGGTATCCACCTGGGATTTGGCATGACTGTCCTCTGTGAACTGAGGCTCCAGCAGGTCTGTGGAGGGAGCTCACAATATGCATCTGTCCTCAGGTCGGCTGCTTCCCTTTATACCCTTTCTCCAGACTGAGAATGCCCAGCAGAGATGGAGGGGTGTGGTTTCCTCAGCCTGCAATACACAGTTAACCCTTGTGGGGCCAGTGCAGGTAGATACACCCCATCACAAAGCCAAAAGGATGTTTTCCTTTAAAGGAACACTATCAAGCCAATAATCTGAAATTGTAACTTAACATTTATCTCAAGCGTTCAAGTAGCACTAACTTCTGCTGACCTTCCCTTTAGCTTGCTGGGTTATTGTAAATTCCCATATTCAGATTGCTAAAGATTCTCTCTAGCAATTACTATCCAACGTACAGAGAAACAAACATTCCACAATTACAGAACACTGTATATGTGGTGCTTTCTTCCTACCCATACTTCTGAGAGAGACTGAGATTCTGTGACACCCATGTCTCTTCACCCACCCAACCACTTGTGCATCACTCTTTTCTCACAACAGGGCTGGATACTGCTGCCTTTGCAGTCAGTTTACCTTGCTCCTTTGAAATAACTTCATCTCCTGTTCCCTGCTAACCTGGGGAAAAAAGAATTTTGATTCCTTGTGGAACTGCCATGCTAACTGTTAAACCACCCTACAAACCTTAATCATAATTCAAGTTTTAAGCCACATATTTTGACAGCATTATGACATATTCATAGAACTATTTATAAATACCTTTTTAAGAAACTCTGACATACTAGCAATAAATGTCAAACTAGTAGAGATGCCAGGCCAGAGAGGGAAGAGCTATAAAGAACACAGTACTTGAAGGTTTCAACCTAGGCAGCAATGTTTGGAGTATAAGTAAGTTGTTGCAGGGCTTCCTTTTTAAAAAATGCAAAATGTATTAGTTGTTAAGGTATGATGCATGATGAAATTTAGGCAGCTAAACTCTGGAGTTAGGCACCTAAGTCCCTTTGCATCATACCACTGTCATCCATGAAACTCCTGCTTGGCTACCACCTAACCCTGTAGGCACCTAAACTCACTCAGCAAATAACATTCTGCTGTCTAGACAGCTAGGTTTTAGACCCTGCGGCAAGCACACTACTCCCCAGTCTAGGTGTCCAGATGCCTATTTCCTGCTTCAATCCCTAAAACAACTCTTGAACCAGGGCAAGATAGCTATTCGGTTACCTATGTTGCATGCAGGGCCTGATCCAGTAGATGTCTACCGAGCATGTCTACCAGATTGGGTTCCATCCAAAATCCAGCTGGAAGAGGAAGCAGTGGTTAGAGCACTTGTCTGGTATGTAGGAGACACTGTTTCAAATTCCTCTTTTCTCCCAGAGGAGTAGAAAAAGATTTGAACAGGAATCTCCCATCTTCTGTCTCTCAAGCGAGGAGCCACTGAACTATGCCTTATTCTGATGTGAGGGTCCCTCAGTCTCTCCTGTTGAAGTTGTTCCATTGTAGATAAATAGTGAAAGAGTGATTGGAGCAGGGGCAGGGCGCAAATCCAGGGTCTATCTCCCCTTACCTACCTCCTACTGTTCCACTGGGAATGAATATTTAAACAGTTATTAGACCAGCGAGAGAAAGAAAGAGAACGATCCTGTAGGATAGTGGGTAGAGCACAGCAGAACAGCTTCAACAGGAAAGATTGAGGGCTCCCCCCAGTCAGAATATGCCATAGCTCAGCAGTTAGAGCACTGTCCTGAGAAGTAGGTGACCCCATTTCAAATCCTTGCTCCCCCTCTGGCAGAAAGTGGCAGGAGTTGAAACTGGGTCTCTCACATTCCAGGCAAGTTCTCTAACCATGGAGCTAAAAGTTATAAGGGCAGTCGTGGCAGCAACAGCTCCTCCTCTGGCTGTTTTGGTTTAAGAGACAGGGGCATAAGCAATTCCTGCAAGAAGTGGTTTACATGCATAAGCTGCCTCAGTCCAGGCACCAGGTTCCCATTTGTGGATCACAAGGAGAAGTAGGTGCCTCCCTGCAGCCTGGGTTTAGGGGGCTATCTCCACGATAGGGGCAAGGCTTAGTGCATACCTCTCTCATTGGTATCTCCCAGAGTCTAGCTTAGATGGCTTTGTGCCTAGTGTGCTGATTTTATTGATCAGATTCTAAGGTACTTATCTCTCCCCATTCATTATATAAGTAGCCTTGGTGCCTAACTTGGCATTGTGGATCACGAATTTCCCAGGATTTTCTAGGCACTTAAAAGTTAGACATTTCAATGCTATCACAGCACCTAAGTCCCCCTTTGTGGATCTCACCCTTAGTGTTTTTCCTGATTACTGCCTATAAGTTCTCCAGGAAATATTTGGTGGGGTCCTGTGGGCAAATGCAATTTGTAATTCCAAAAGATGCAATCTTTTATTGAAGCATTCCAGCTGCGTGCTGTTCTACTACAAAACATTTTTAAAATTGGTATCAACCATAACCAAAACTCAAAAATTATTCTGTGAAAAAAAATTTTCACCTAGCTTCTCAAAATTAGCAAAACATTCTCACAATCTTAATTCCCCCCAAAAATTACCCGTAGGAGTTTTCACAATACAGCTACTACTGACTGTTACCAAATGAGGGTTCATATTAAAACGTTCACAACCTACCTTGTAAGGCAAAGAATGCTGCTTTTGAGCATATTTGAGGTTACTAATTAGTCCCAACTGTTAGTTTTAGAAGGTTAATTTGATCACTTAATGGAATGTCTCTTTCCGTTGCCCCCTAAACTAAGCAAAAACATTAACTGATGTCAGCTCTCATTCAAAGAAATTGTATAGCCTTCAAAAGAAATGAAATTATTTTCTTTAACCATCCATAGAACAATTTTTATGTAGCTACATTAATCTAAGAAAGCAAGAGTCTTTTAAATTTCAATACACGTTACACACAAACATAGCCAACTGATATGTAGTGGTGAGTGGTATATAAATAGTTACTTGTACTTAGATGCCTGAGATTACAGGGAGCCATTGCCTTTAGTTTGTTTTTGAATAACTGCTTAGGAGTAATTTTTCTCCGCCAGTATATATCAGCCCTACTTCTTGGAGCAGAAGAAAACATTTTGGGGTTCAAAAGACAATATGAAAGAATTTGTCATATTTGAAGGTATGTAAGTGGTTCTGACAAATGTGGACTATGTCCCTATTAATACTTTTTCTCTTATAAGAATATGAGAGGCTGGATGAAAATTTTTAATTCCATTGCAGAAGTAATAGCACTGTTTTGGTGTTTTGTAAGCAGACATTATTCTACTAGTGACTGTATTTGCAGTGATGCATTATTCTGAATTCTATTATTGTACATCAGCGGCAGCTTAAAGTGTATTTTTTATAAACAGCAAACTTCACCTCATAAAAATTCATTACATAAGGGCATAAACAAGTACTTTTCCTTCCAGTCATTGGCAGTAAGTGATTCATCAGTTTTCCACAAAAAACCAATTTCATTGCAGATGTTCTGTAATTTCCAGTCTCCCTGAACTATAGAATCATATCACCCAATCCCAATGCAAGGAATGTAAGGATTTTTTTTAAGGCGGTGGGGAAGCTGTGCTTAGTCTTTGTAATAGGATTGCATATCATTTGCTGTCTCATCAGTTTTGCAAAATAACCATAAAGTAATCAGTCTGCCATTCTTTACTTTCTTATGCAGG